ATATTTTATTGAGATAGTTTAGACAGGGATGATTCTGCCTTGAGCAGGGGGTTGGACTAGATGACTTCCTGCCAGTCCTATTTTTCTATGACGCTACAATCTCTTTGAATTGTTATTCATGATAATCTCAGATTGATAAAACCTCTTATTTTAAGGGTGATATAGGGGACAATTCTGTATGGAAGTAAGTAGGTACTTTGTACAGATATACACAGGGTGACTGTATTTCTACTTTTGTGGGGGAAATTGGTGCAACAGGGTGATTAGAAGAGAATATAATTGTAGTTGCTGTGGTATGCTGTACTATGCTATTCTATACTGCACTAACTTGAGCATCAGCAAAATCTCTTTGTGCATCAGCATGTGTTTGTATATATGTATAGTAAAATTACTAGGTGTAATTCCAGTACAGTCAAGGTAGTTGCCTTAGGGCTGAATTGCTTTTTCTGTATTACTCACATTTAGTTTATGCCATGTGCTATCTGTTTTCTTGTAATATTTAATTTTGACACATTGTAGGATCCAATATCCATGAAAAACACAGACATATTGGGGCATCTATGATAATTGCCCTCATGTTAGAAAACCATGTGTACTGTCAGGAGTTCCTGTTTATATTGGCTAAAAAGTTAGGCACTTCTAAATTATTTTCTTTTCTAATTAAGAGGAAAGCTTCAGTTTATTGAGCAGCCTATAAAGTATGCATGTGCTGCAAGATCAGCCATTATCACCACTCTGTATCCGAGGGAGGAGTTTGTATCTCTCCACTCAGTACCACTGCAGACCCAAAAGATGGCAGGGAAGGTTGTTCTGTGGTTGTTATAAGGTAGCATTTTTGTTTCCTCCTGTGAATGGAGTGATGGGTTGTTAGAAATAAATCACAAAACATAGTACCACCATGGAAATTTATTAGGCAATTCCAGTGTTTGTAAGTTAGCTAAATGCTGTAGCCTGATGATTCCCTTCTTCAGGATCATATCTCGTTGCTGTGAAATACGGGTCCAATCCTGAAAGATACACCAATGCTTGGTTTTTTAGCCATTTGCTCCAGTGAGTTCAGCTCTCTTACAGCTTTGCTCCATTGGAAAGTATTTGAGAGTCTCCTGGTGAATATAACTTACCTTCAAAACTGTGATCGGAGTCTCACAGGAGCAGAGAGGGGCTGGTCTGTCTAGTTATGCTCACTTTGTCATATTGATCATTAAAAGTGGCAGAGGTCTTAACTCCTCACGTAATTGTGAACATACTGCACACACAGAGTCTGAATTCCAAGTAGAAGCAGCTTTCACTGAGGCAAGGTGCATGGCAGTCGTATGGTTGTCTTTGAGAGCAGTCGGTTATTATGGAAAACTGGATGGCCTAAAGAATTGGTAGTGGGCCATGTCTCTGTCCACCTTGCTGTCACTGGATGGTGGACCTAGCCCAGTGATCGAATGGCTAGGGCCAGTAAAACAAGGACTTCTTATTCCAGAAGCAGTTGTTGTGCTTGATACTATTTGGCAGCCCTCTCAGCCAGCTGAGGTATGGATGAGCTTTAGAGATGAACCAGGCCTAACAGCTCAATTGTGGGGCAGCCTGAAGGAGGCAGACTGGCAGATGCATACCAGCATTACCCCTGGCAGCAGGATACCATCTCTGTGATGAAAAATAATGCTCACTCTCCAGGGCTGTGCACCCAGTGTCAAGTTCACATCATTCACTAACTAATTGCTATCCTTTCTACACACCGTCTTCCCTTTCAAGCTACATCTTGCTTTAAGGTAGCTCAACGTATAAAATGTGTCATTATCATACGTGCATTTCTTAAGGAACAGTTACGATTCCTTTCTTTCTTTCTTTTTTGTACCTGACTTGGATGGCTTAAAATTGAGCTGACAGTCCATCCGTGATCCACCTATTTAGTGTCAAAGAGCATAACGTTCCCAAGTTTTAAAAGGGCTTGGATAATACTGATCGATCAACGTGCTCCTTAGGAAAATAGCTCTCCAGATGGTCTATCGGGACAGGAATTGCTGGTAATCACAATGCAGAATCAAAGAGCATCACTAATGTGGGCTGTTGTGAGGCACGCTTCTTTTGTGATCCCTTGAATGCCATAAATAGAGGAAGAAAGTGTGGGAAACTCCGAGAAACTCAAGCCCACACTCTGAGGTTAATAGGTCTTTGTCAGGAAAGTATCCCTGGGCTGTGGGATCAGCATAATAAACATCACCCTCCCAAGGGTAGGAGAGCTCTGCAAAAGGGGAGCATCAGGTGGGAGGATCTGAAGAGCCTGTGTGGATTTGCTTATTATCACAGCTAATAATTAATAAATAGTTAGCAAGACCTGGGCTTTTCTAGGATCAAAGCAGGCACTCAGAATGAGATCTCAGTATTGGCAATAGCAACCTGGCTAAGCTCGCTTGCAGATGCTTCTTGTTGAGACTGAACCAAAGCCTGTGGTTAGAAGTCATCAGAGCTCCAGCTCCAGCCAGGGTCCTGGCTCACGCAAATAAATGGGAGTCTTTCCACTGCTTTGGGTTGGGCTTTTACCTGAAGGCTGTGAGCCTGGTGCTTTCCATATTGGCCCCAGCTTTGTACAGCACTGGGCCTGGTTCTTATTTATGTTAAGGCCCTACTGGAAAGTGGATGGGTATCATTTTTTGTTCTTTCTCACTGTAAAGCTTCTTTAGTGGTATAGGGTATAACAAGGTCTTAGTAGAAATGAAAATTGGACTCTATGCCTTTTCTGACTTTTCTAGGGGATAGGGGTCTAGCAGAAACAGGTTCTGGCCTTATAGGCTTGGTTCTGATTTCACACCAATCTTCCATGGGGGTAAACTCTTCTCCAGGTTTCTGATTTCCTCCCAGTGCAGGTGAGGCCAAACATGCACCCAGCAGCGATGTGAAGTCTTGTTGTTTTCCAAGTTTTCTCTTGATTGTATTTCTGACTTCACCAGTTTAAAATCAAGTTGGGAATCTGTTTGGTACAATTTTTAGCAAAATTCTACAGCACATGTTACTGAAATTAGAGGCATATAAACTGTAGGAAATATTAAAGTAAAAATATACATATACTACCAAAGAGAAATTCAGGTGTTACTAATCTCAGCTGAGGCAGAGGACAGCCTGAATGGAAAATGGCTCAGGGTAGTACCAAACTGCATTCCTACTCAGTCTGAGCGAACCAGAAGGAATGTGTTTCTGATACTCATTTCCAATGGTTTGGTTGGTTGGGTTGCTGTTTTTTTTTGGGGGGGGGGGGGAAGTATATTCAACTGTCAAATATATGAAAACGTAGTTGAATGTGATCAGCTGATAATCAGGGGCTCACACTAATTGTTACCTATATGATTTCCAGGGATTTACAAATATTTATATAAATCTTAGAGTTTGTTTTGTTTCTATCTAAGTGCCCTTTTCAGTGTTTCCCCTTCTTGTGTAAAGGCAAATTTAATCTCCCAAAATGTGCCATATGACTAATCAAACATTGCTAACAGTGAACAGTCAAAGAGAACAGTTTCCAGGATCTATATGAATAATAAGAATGCCTAGCTCTATTTATATGGTACTTTGCCTCTCTCGATTTAGAGTGGGTACCTCTAATTTTTCTGTCGTCCTGGTCCATGGAAATTCAGCTTTTCAAATAAACTGCTATCCTGGAATCCCAGGGGAGATGGTCTCGTGCCATTGGTGGGTCACACAGTCAAGAGGGAACCCTCCTGTGCCCTCCTAAACATAAGACAGGGCTTGGTGGGAATTTTTTTTTGAAAAAAAAATTAAAATAACATTTCTGAGGCTTGTGTGTATGTTCATTTGGGATGTTAGAGAGTAAAAGAACAGCATCCTCTGCTACGTTATTGTGTGAGCAGGATGGCTCTGGGGGTCCCCAGATGCTACCCTGCTAGCTCCAAGGCAGTGAAATCAAACAGGCTTCATTCACTCTTAAGAAGGCTCCACCTGGTACCCACTGTCAGGAACAGGATTGACTGAGTAGGGCATGCAATCCGTGTCCACATGTAGGAGTCACAGGCAGCCCACTGCCTCGGTGTTGCAGTTATTACCCAGGTCATGAGTCAGGGCTCTCAAGCTGTGGGAGGATATGCCTGCTTTGCTTTCTATATTAGGGTCAGAAGGGGAAGGAAGGGTTAAAGAGGGCACTTACAATATATTTGATAGTGGTAATATTTCTACTAATAGGGCTGGGGTTAAGCACTGTAAAGCTTGCTGCTGTGTGGAAACACATCCATGACACAGCTGAGCCCAAGCTAAAGAGAGAGACTAGCTGGTGCAAAATAGTGCCAGCAATAAAAATACTATGTAACAGTTGCATGGAACTCAGATCTTGGAGTGCTTTCCAAATGCTGGGACACTGCTGTGATAAAGGTTTTACAGCATAGGAAACTGAAGCAGAGATGAGTGACATGACTTGCCCAAGGTGTCTCAGCAAATCAGTAGCAGAGTGAGGAATCACGACCAAAAAGGACTCTTGGTTCCTGGGCCCAGGACTTCCAGCTTTGAATTTTTGACATGCAGTTTGGCTTCTTCAGAGGAGAGTGTTACATTTAAAAAAGGGAAATTGTAAATAAATTAATTTGGAAGAGAAAAAGCTGTGTGCAATCCTACCTACTTGCCTGACCAGATATAGCAGATATGTAAATTTCTCTTTAAAAGAGAAAGGAAAAGCCTCATGTTACCTGTGACGCCTGAGTTTAGCAATGTAGGTTCTTTTCCATCTGAAGACTACATATGTATTTTCATGCATGTCTGACCCCCTTCCCTGTCCGTCTGCATTTCTTCTTCACTTTCAGGCCTTGAAATTTTACTGTAATTTTTGATAGCTTTTGTATATCTTTCCAAATGGACAATCCCATCCCCTTTCCAACCATAGTCAATGGGGCTGCTTGAACAAGTAAAAACTGTGCACCAGAGTGAGGATCCCCTGGTGTTTTAAACAGTCGCCCCTCTTATGCAAGCACGCCAACAAAACATTACATTTTAATAATTTCAGGCAAAAAGGGTCAAGGAATAAAATCATTTTATTGACATGTACAGTAAAGGAACCAAAGTCACTTTCAACATCCCACAGAAAGAAAACACAGCAACTTTATAAAAGCTTCTAATCTCTTTAAAATGTTCAGTGCATAACTGTACACTACTTATTTCCCTTCCCCTACCCCACCCTCATAACTTAAGATACAAACAAAGTACTTCCTTTACAAAAGGCATCAATTATCTCTCAAGTGAGATTCATATGCACTGGGCATGAAGAAAATTTTCTCTACAGTAATTTGTTATTATAATAACTTTCCATAAGAGATTATACTAGAATAGTACAGGAACTTCAGAAGCAACAGCATTTCTGAATCACATCTTTCACTCAAAAGGTAAAGACTCGGAATTCTTTATGATACAAAATACAGCCTTAAAAATACCCCTTCTAGAAGAAGGTTGCTGCCCAATACAGGGCCAGAGCAGCTCCTAAATACCCACAGAAAACAGTGAGAAGATTCCCATTGACTTCCCTGGGCATTGCATTGAGGGCTTTATCAAACAAAACTCTGATGGAAGTCACTGGGAGTTTTGCCCTGTAAAGCACCAAAGAACTTGGTCCTTTTTTAGCTTGGAGCCACTCATAAAAACAGCAGTTTCACTGCAAGATACAGACACCATCCTTCACTATGAAGGAAAACTACTTTAGAGACCCTCATTCCTATTGACAGAAAAAAATACCCTCCCTTCCTCCTGGAAATCAGAGTTTCCTACTTGAAAGAGGAACCATTAAAGATCCCTCTAGTTTTGTAGCAAACAGTAAAAAAGAAAGCATGCCCATAAATCAGTCTACCAGGGCCTCCAGATGGAAGGAGCAACAGCAATCTTCTGGGTAGGGTGCTTCCTGGGGATCGGGCAGGGCGATGGGGGTGAGCTCTGCACAGGGGGGGAGCAGGGATTGTCTGGGATCATTTGAGCTTTGCAGAAATGCTTGATCAGCTGGGCTTGAGCTTCCTTCCTAGGCTCATAGTAGGACAGGAAATGCAGTGCTTCTTTGAGGCAGCGCAGGTATCCGGTGTTAAAATCTTGCTCTGGGCTTTTCTGACTGAAAGCTGAAAAAGACGGGAGGAAAATGACAGGTCAGCAGCATGTCCCAGTGTGGGGCAGAGGGACAGTACATGGGAAGGGTTGACTCAGGGGGCCTAATCCTGCATGTCCTTGCTCACATGGATTCATTGTCCTCTCAGGGAGTGAGGACTGGTGTGAGCAAGGGGGCAGTTGCTGTGGGAGCAGCCCCACGGAGAGTGTGATAAAGCATGCTGGGTACCCACCTCGTGCCTGCACCTGGCTCTGCTGCTTCAGGTAGCTGACCGCCACTTCCAGGATGTCGGCTTTCTCCAGCTTGGAGTTGGGCTGAAGTCTCTGGAACTCCTTCTCCAGCAGGACTTTCAGCTGCTCGATGCTGCTGTTAATGCGATCCCGACGCATTTTCTCCACCACCGGCTTCCTGAGCTGCAATTGGGGAGGAGCAGTTCATTACGGATATGCTCAGATTGGATTTATTTACATCATCTACCCTGATTCCTCCTGGAGCACATATCTGTCTGTCTGTCCCCTGTATTGCATCTGTCTATCCTTAGATCTTGTTATATAATTTTGGCTATGTAAATGCACATGGTTGACAGTGGAGTTTCAGATGCCTAATCAGTGCCATAGAATACAGCCCAACACATACTTTCTAGCCCTGTCCACTTAAAGTTGTTCCACTTACTTTATTCTTCTCTTTCGGCAGGAGTTTTTCCTCTATGTGGACCAAGAAACTGTTGCTGGGAGCCATTCTGATCCCTGTCAGTTATGGGACTGATCTCTGGGTCAGGGGCTTCTGTACTGAGCACAAGCCTATGACTCTGGAAGCTACTGACTGCCTCTATTTATCCCCCAGAGCAGCCAAGCAGATATGTGAGTCTCAGGGTTGTTGGTGTTTCCCACACTTGCTCAGCCAATCCGGGCACACGGTCGAACAATAGAGGAGGCATCTATTAGTGTATGGTACATTGACTGTAAATGCCCTGGAGAGAATAACCTTCTGCCCAAACCAACTGGTGGAGTGTGCAGCGTGGCACTGCAGGGCTGCAGGAGGATCTGGGAAAGCACTGACCCTCCAGCTGGTTGTCTGGGATCAATTGCATTCCAGAGTCACAGCATGTGCCAGTCACATTCATCCTGGGGAGGAAGGCACACGTTTTGGGGAAGGCGGGAAAAGGAGCAGGGCAGCCTGTGGGTTAAAATGAATGGCTCTGCTCCTGGGGAGGGTGCAGTTCACTTGGGGTAGGTGCTTGTTTGTAGAATCCTTGTGGTTTCCTTGTGAGATATGAAGAATAAAGCTAAGCATTAACAGCATTAAGTGACAGGCTTTTTGGTAGAGTGGGCTTTAAAGATGTCAGATGAGATTTTTTTTTTGTGGGGAACGTATTTCAGGACCCCATTCAGGTGTAAATGATGGCTTCAGGTTCTTCTTCATTCCAGACACTAGTGTCTGAGCCTCTGTTACATCCATCTGGTTCCATTCAGGCAAGGTGGGCATGCTTGCAAGCAGCATTTAACCCACTTTCACTCTGTCCCAGTGCTCTTTTGGTCCCTTCTCCTCTTTAAGCTTCATGCAGGTTTTTTCAGGGGGTGATAGTAATGGGCGCAAGATGTAGCACCAGACTTTGAGACATAAAGGTGTAAGCCTGGATGGGATTCAGACTACTAATGCCCTTCTCTGTATCCCAGCAAGGAGACTAATGATCTAAAACACCAGGAGTGATGCTCTCCTTGGAAGGCTTGCTACAAATCTCCTAGGACTTCTCTCTTTCTGATATTCCTGCTTTCAGGTAGTCCCAGAATACTGTTTGGGAATACTGTTTGGGAATACTGTCCTTTTCACAGTAGGTTGGTAAATCAGGCAAGCATTCTCTTGCAGAGGATGAGACTCTAAGCTAAGTGTTGTGCACCTCTGCCACAGACTCACTATAAATGGCCATTGGCAAATCACTTTGCCTCTGTTTCCTTGTCTGGAAAAAAAGGGAAAAATGATGCTTGCTGGTTTTTGTAAAGGGGTTGAGCCAGTGGATTAGAAGTGTTTCTTTGAATTATTGAGTCAAAATCAGTGCAGGGGAACCAAACAGTTTTCTATTAAAAGTTAAGCAAATCTTTTTGAACTGCATGGGATAAAAATAGGTTGAGCTCATTTTTTGGACAAAGGCTCGAGTCAGTCCTGGTTTTAGTTAGCTGGAGTAGTGCATTCTTGGATGTAGCCTTGAAGGCAGCAATGAAAATAGCAGGACCCAGGCCTCCACTGGAATAAACTGATATAGTGCTATTGATATGCATTAGATATGTGTGGAGGTAGGTTGTAAAAGGGACGTGTGGATGACATTTCAATAGACTGTGCTGATTTATACCAGCTGAGAGTCTGGCCCATAGCCTGTGAAGTGGAGGACCCTTTGCTTTTGAACTGATGTATGTGAAACAGGGAGGAATGGCTAAGGAGCTGAGACAGTTTTTTTCTGGTGGAGGGAATGCTGCCGTGTTTAGAGAAAGCCAGGGAATATTTCTTCTACTGTGAACCCTGAAGCGGAGCCTGAATGTAATAGGCAGTTGTCAGGAAGGGAGGTCAGGGAAATAGCCAGCTTCATGGTTTTCATTGTATGGGTCTGAATGGGCTTAGTTCTTTGTTAAGGACAGATGTTGTCCTCAGAGTCCTTTATTCCCTGTGTTGTGGGAAAGCCAGGAGACAAGTCATCTCATGCACACTTTGAAGCAGCCAGAGGATTATAACATTAAATAAGACACAGCCCAGTGACCAGCCCCAGCAGTGTTAGCTTTTGCCAGCCCTAATAAGATGTTGCATTTTTCCTTGCCTTCTTTCACCACCGCATCCCATGTCTCTTGCAAGTGTGGGCTTGATGGTGGGGGAACGCGAAGCTTGGGGCTGGCAGGTAGTTGTTGTACCAGGCTGGTTAAAGACTCTTCAGTGTCAAAGAGCATCTTTTTCCCAACTTCTGAGTGGCAGCCCTGACCTTTCTTGCTGTATTCTAACTGCTAGCCAGATGGTCTTTTGGGAGTTGGATTCTTTCCCTTTAATTCATTCAGGTTCAAGCACCATCACTAATGTTGCGAGTAGTTGCAAGGCACACTTCTATTGTCCCAACAAGAAATGTTATCAATAGAGGAAAAGTGTGGGAAACTTGGGGAAATTCAAACCCACACAGCCTGGTGCTAATAACTCCTTTGTGAAGCCTGCTCTTCTGCCACTGCGACCTGAACTCACATGGCTTTTCTGTGGGAGAAGCTGAAAAGCACATGGCTGGCCATGTGGGTAAGAGCTCCTTGTTTACCCAGAGAAGGGGGTCATGCAGGGCAAGGGGTAAAGGGATGGCAGCTTGTACACAGGTCTTAGGAAAGTTGGGCTCAGTGCCCAGTTCTGCTGTTCGTTCATGCAGGGACTTAGATTAGTTAGTTTGCCTCAGTTTGCTTGTCTGTGAAATGGGCACAGTAATGCTTGCTTTGTCCCTAGCTGTCTTGTATGCTGGGCTCTAGCCTGTGCCTCTGCATCTTCACTAATACTGGTATCTTAACTAGCTTGGTTAAAACTGGTGGGGGTTTGCCTGCCTGCTCTGCAGTTACTTCTTTACCTAGCTGTATAGACTTGCTCTCATGCTCCAAGCGTCCTAGGATGTAGAACTGTAAATTGAATCCCCTTTTTGTAACATTAGCCCCTTATCCTCCCCAGGTGGGGAAGTGGTGACCCATACAGCTTGCTGTGTCAGGGGTTCCTAAATGAGGCCTGAAAAGTAAAAGCTCCTGTCCACTGTGTGCAATTATTAGGATTCCTTCAGTACTTGCTTCCTTCAATACTATGCTGGCATTGCCCCTTCTATACACTGCACCCCAGAGGTGGCTGCATTTCGGTGGAACTCTGTCACATGCAGGGGAGGACCTTTAAAGCACTTTTGCACAAAAAGCTGTATACAAAAGGTAGGTCTTGAAAAACTCCCCCTTCTGGGCCAGATTCTGCCACACAGTGACTCACATTAAATAGAACTTTACCCATCAGTAGGGTGACCATAATCATTTTAGGGAAACCTGGGATGGTGGGCATGTTCCCCCTGCCGCTGGCAACTGCCTGGGGCTGCCACACATAGCCCAGGCCTCAGCAGCCAGTGCAATGGCAGGGCACAAGGCTGCTGGTTGGGGCAGGGAGGCACTATGTGGCTATGTGGTACAGGCTGGTGGAGCCCGGGGGGGTGCTGCACAGGAGCTGCTCCCAGCCAGATCCAGCCTCTGTGCATGGGGAATGGAGCCTGGCCACGGGACTCTGCACTGTCATGCCTGCCCCAGGCCACCCTCCTGCTCAGGTGCCTGAGCCCCAGCCCCACCCCGGCCCATCCCCTCTTCCCCCCCAACCCTGTGGTGCTCAGCTCAGCCCAGCCCACCGCCCTCCAGCCTGCTCAGGAGGAGGCAGACCAGGCATGTGTGGGCAAGGTGGTACCAATCTGGGACTTCTTCGATTCTCACCAACCAACTGGGACAGCTTATGAAATCTGGGACTGTCTTGGTCAAACCAGGACATATGGTCACTCCCACCCATAAACAGACCAGTGAACCCCCATGCTGTATCTATGGCAGAATTCGACTGGAATTTAATGGAAAAGATTGCATATTCTGGTCCAGCCTATGTAACGTATTATTAGTAGCAATGTGTCACCATTTGGGTGACTCCTACCTTCCCTGGGCTAAAAGATGCGCAGGACCCTTTGTAATGACACTCTCAAGATCATGCCCTACCCATTTAACCTTCATTTAATCAGTTTCTCTCTACATCCAGCATTCTTAAACCTTGTCATTCCTGGGTGCTGAAGGGAAAGAAAGCAGGTTTGGATTGTGAGCAAGTGCTGAGTGTATGCTCCAGCTCGACCTGCATTTTCAAAGTAATTTGAGGTGAAATCGATTTCCCCAGCTGCTTGTGTGGGTGACCCTGAAATAGTCACGGGCCAATGCCATGTTCTTCTTACAGCCAGTATTAAAAATAATTAAAAATTAAGAAGCATTTATTATTTCTCTGCCTAGTGGAAATCCCCCCCTCCCACCCCCTCCCCATCACCT